ATCCTTTGAGAAAAACTGTTTATCCCCAAATATACCCAAAAATCACCAAAAAATTTACAAAACAGCCCAACATGTGGCTATGTGAAATGAGCAGAGAGATTTTTCACTGCTTGAAACGTGAACGAGATATTTGCATTCAAACCATAATACCCAGCAAAAATATGGCCTTCATGTTAACCCCCGCCTTAAGGAAAATCCTTCTTGTAATATACGATTTTAATCGACCGTGTTTTGCCACGCTGTGTTAGCCATAGGTTTGAGTTCCACCGCTCTCTCGCGTCCGGCCGCGTTCCTTCCCTCTTTTCGGGGAAAGAGCACGGGCTCATGTCCCGAAACAGCGGCTGATAATAGAGCCTGTGTTAGCCATGCAGAGCTTAAGAGTTTTCCAGATTATATCATAAATCTTGCCGCAAACGAATGACTATAAACTTGACTAAAATTAAACAAATCTAATGTCTCTTGGAATGAAAGTGGATCCTATTTTAAGGTTGTTACTTTATATGAACAAAGTTTTTGTAATAAATATGAAATTATAGTAGAACAGCTATTAAAGCATTACAGGATATCGATATAGTGTAGTTGAAATTAGGCTATTGTAGTTTTGGTGGTGATGTTTTTTTTCTCCTTAAGAAAGCGCTTTTGATGGAAACATTAGTTTCTTGAACCTTTCTTTTTTCACTTGTCCTGTTTTAGGTGTTTTTGAGGACCTTACTCGTGATCACTTACCTGAGCTCTATGATCACCTGATGGAACTTGGAATACTTAACATGATATCATTGTCCTGGTTTTTAACTCTCTTCCTCAGGTAATTGCACGTCTGCCGTGTTATACTCTTGTATTATACGCCTGAAAATATTATTTCTTGGTATAGAATGTTTATAAATTGCAATTTTTGGTCCCTGTCATACAGGATTATTATTTTTCAAACTTGTCAATAATTCATTAAGTTTTTCAAAAAGGAGATATTAAACGTCACCGTTATTTCTCTCCTTTTCTCCTCAGTTTTAGCTT